AGAGAGAGAGAGAGAGAGAGAGAGAGAGAGAGAGAAAGAGAGAGAAAGAGAGGGGTCGGTGAACTCTGAACGGGACGATCGATGCCAAGGGGTGGATGTACCATGCAGGCTGATCGCATTGTCGCCAGCGCTAGATGCACCCGCGCAATAATCAATAATTTCGTAAATAACGACGACGAGCGAATAGGGGTAACACGGAAACGATTTTGGCCTATCGAATCCCGTATACAAAATGTATATATATGTATACAAATGTATACATCGTTCCCGTATACAAATGTATACATCGAACGAAACGAGCATGCGAAAATAATGATTAGATCGTTCTCTATCAATTTCTAACGCAACGTAATACACAATTTGACGTAACCCTTTGAAGTTCGTTTTAATAGCCGTTACGAACCGATACGATTATAATAGATCTTTCTCCATCTCCTGCGAAGTTGTTTTCGTGCACAACGTAACGTGCATTGACGTGCACGACGGAAATTTTCACCCATGATCTCGATATTATTACGTTAACACGTAATCACAATACAGGGGACATTATATTATGCGAAACACGTTGCAATCTGGAAAACGCAACGCGACGTGACATGTAACAGCGGTCGCCCCGTGTTTTATTAATTTCGTACCAAGGATCGATGTAATTAGAATTAGATTTTAATCGAAAAGTATAAGGGCGTTTAAATTTCTGACGCTGTGTATGTAGGCAGGGGGGAGAGATAGTAGGCAGCAACGAGCATATAACAGCATATAACAGTATCCCTCTGCGAGGACATTGGATTTACGTAACGATCCGGTATTATTGTTGTTGGCTGCATACAATTTACTTGTTGTTTCGTGAAAAAAAAAAAAAAAAGAAGGGAAAAAAAGGACAAAAGTCTACTCTAACGACCTTGCTCAATCTTCACTTCCCTCTCCCTCGTCATCGATGTCGAATTTCTGTCCCGAACCCTTTGACTCGTAACGCGTCATCATAATATAATTGTATTTTGTCGAGGATAAAATTAGAATCGGTTCTGTTGTCCGTTTTCAACCAGTTCGTACGTCGATATTCAAATTTAGAATTTGGATAGAGGATAATCTCTTTTCGTATTCGTTCGGGTGGAATTAGAATCGATCTCTCACAGGCGTGGAGTATCATATACATACGGAATATAAGAAACGATAAGTCGATTGCTCCCGTTCGAAGAAAAGTTCGCACGCAATTCGTGACGATATTACTTCAAACATGCGGACGTAATAAAAAAAACAATACTTTTTCACCTATACCATACCAAATCAATCCCATACGCACAGGATTTGTTTTGTACCGCCTATAGCGATTCACGAGCACGTACACATATTTATATAACATAAGTGGGTAGAAAACGATTATTCGGAGTGCGATCATTCCTACGTCCATTCTTATTACATAATTGGATTTATGGAGTAACGACGAGTCGCGTAACTAACTCGACGGCGATGGATTCCCGCTAACGAATAGATAAACAATCGTGCATAGATGAAACCGTGAAAATCCATCGAAGAAGAAATAAAGAAAGAAAAAAAAAAAAATATGTTTGCGTTCAAATAGTTTTATTATAATATAACGGATCTAAAGATACAAAAAAAAAAAAAAAAAAATGGACGGAAGATCGAGCGATTCGACGAGACGATTCACGAAAACAAGAAAGCGTACAAAAATGAGATTATTTCTCTCTCTCTCTCTCTCTCTCTCTCTCTCTCTCTCTCTCTCTCTCTCTCCTTTTTCCTTTTCTTTCTAAATGAAAATACGAAACGATCGATTCGATTCGACCTCGGTCCGCCTACTACTTAGACCCGATCCAGAAACCTCGTTCACCTCAGCGCAGCTCGATTAGATCACGTAGCTTTTGTAAAGGTAGGAGGCAGCAGGCGCGTAACCAACCGAGATGGACGCCGGGTAGTTGGGGTAGAGAAGCGGCGAGCCGATGCTGGAGATGACGGGTGATGGCAATGGAGCGGCCGGCAGCGGGGCGGCGGAGAGCAGAGCGGCCGGTGCGAGAGGCGAGGGTGTCGGCGCCGGAGCCGGGGCTGGGATCGGAGCCGGCGTTGGCGCGGCCAACGCAACGGCCAACAATCCGGCGAGCAACAGCTGCGCTCGAAACAACACTCTCGGAAATTAGTGGCATTAGTGACCTCCCTTACCTCGACACGACGTGCGAACGTCGAGTAATCTCGCTCACTCACCGTTCTCAACATGTCTTGTTTTCGAACCACCACGTATGGGACGATTACGCCTCGATCGGCGAGGGAACGCCGCTTATATAGGGCGCGAAAGATTCTCTCATCTTTCTTTTGCATCCCCTACCTTTTATCCCATACCCAACACGGTGTACCCAAAGGCGAAGGGCGACGGCAGGTTCCAGGGAAGAGCTTCCTCTTCTTCTTGTTGCCGGATCGAATCTTTTTTTCAACCGCTCGGCCAATCTCGGAGGGGAGCTCTTCTCTTCAACGATTTCCCGGCGACTAACTAACGTGGTCTCAACCTCAAGGTCGAGCGGGGATCCAGGCGTCGCGTCCCAACAATACGCGTCATTTCCTTCTTTTTCATCGAGGCCTGCGTTCGAGCAACTTCCCCCTCCGCAGAACAGGTTTTCCCCTTTCGAGCCGCGTCGTCCTTCGAAAAACGATTTACGATCGTTTACAAATATCGTTTAACGACTTGCCAAAAAGAGTACAAAGGACTAGGTTTGAACTAGATCGAAATTGTATTAACGTCTGGATCGTTTATATGCGTGCGTATATACGTTCGATTTTTAGTTTCCTTGGACGAAAGTCGAGGAAAATTGTGTGAAGTACGAAAGGAAAAGTAGACGGAGGAATAGTCGTTTATCTAATTCGAAAGGATAAAAATTGGAATCGACGAAGTTTTCGAATATTAATTAATAATGGAAAGAACGCGTGTGTACATTCCCCTTTATGTCGGGAGACACACGAGACCACACCTTTGCCTTAAAAAGAAACCGGGCGTTCGCCGATCTCGGACCCCAGACGAACTTGAACTTGAGAAAAAAAGCGTCTGTTTGTTGCCTTGAAGTTGTCCAGCCTTGCCCGACTCGAGATAAAGATGGAAAGTGCGAAGCAAGTCAAGACGGGGAAGAGACTCTCTAGTGTGACTAGATTACATATAATAAATGAAGAGGCGATCGAAATCGACGTATTTCTTTCTCTATTTCTTTTTGCTCGAGCTAAATAAAGATCTATACACAGATTTAGAATCGGGACGAATTGTCGAAAGGAGGCCGACAAAGAGAAGAAAGAAGCAAGACGATAGAACGAAAGATTAAACGAAAATACTTGCTTATGATGTATCGTGTGGGAAGCGCACAACGATCCGCGTAATTACTCGACGTTATAACCTTGTTACACGTTCCGGCCGGACAGCTCCACACGTAGTCGAAACGATTATACAATTGCTGCCTGGCTTTACGTAATATCACGATACCCCCCGTGCAAGTGTCCGCCCTGTGTTTTTCTTTCGATCAAGGTCATCGAAATCGATCGATCGCATTTGTTGCGAGCTTGTGGCTAGGTTACAAACGCGAGCGGTTTGAAAATACTGGACGGGAGGGGGGAGGGGTGACGCGCGTGAAAACGCGACGCTTCGAGTCCGGCATTCGAAATGCGAAGGAGAGGACTTTCGTAAAACGAGCCGCGCATCCACTTTTCGTAAGCGAACCTCCACCCGCGGAGGATCGGTATAAAGAGAGGACGCTTCCACGGCCTCTTCACTCGTCTCTCGACAACCGAATCGAACAAAGCGGACCGAAAAATGATGAAGACAGTGGTGAGTGACGAAAAAAAAAAATTCGAAGGAAAATCTCCTCTCTATCGCTCCTTATCATTTTTTTTTTATCGTTGTTATTCCCCGATTTTTCAGTGCGTCGTACTCCTGGTCGCGGCGGTGGCGTCCGCCGGACTGGTCCCCGCCGCCCCTTTGGCCGTGGCCCCAGCTGTGGCCGCTGTTCCAGCGCCCATCGTCACCGCTAGAAGCAGTCAAGTCGTTGCCAGGAATTACAACACGTTGGCCGCCGCGCCGCTCGCGGCCGTCGCCGCGCCATTGCACGCCGCGTACCCACCGGTCGCCGTGGCCGCGGCTCCGCTTCACGCGGCACCGCTCCCGTACGCAGCGCTCAACTATCCCGCTGTTGCCATATAATTCGTTCCCCTAAATACGATCGTCGGACCTGTTGCTACTTAAGTTTCTCTGTTTTTATTAAATAAATTGCAATTTGAAACAAATAGACATTCTTCGATTCTTACTTCTCCTTCCTATATTCTTATTCCATTGTGTATTCTATTTTAACAAAAAAAAAAAAAAAAGAGTAGGAGATAGGATACTTAATTGCAAAAATATTTAATAGAGTAGAAATATTTAATAAGTGAATCGAATAAAAGTTTGAACAAGTAAGAAGTCGTTTGAGATCAGTTTTTCTACTATAATAATCGAATTTTTGCTAGATATATAATGCAATATAATTTAATTCTTCCAAGATTTTCTGTACTACTTCTATATTGTAGAGATAAATTTGTTATGTGTGTATCTTAAAAATATATGTATATATTATCATTATCATTTATATGGAATAAACAATTTTTAAGAATTTAACGATATTGTTCTTTAAAAAAAAAAAAATGTTCACGTTTTTCCTACGTACCTTCTCTTTTCCAAATCGTTTCCAAATGATCAGGTTAATTATACCGAGTGAGGAAATTAGATTTCTCTTTCTCTCTCTCTCAGATATGACACAAAAAAGAAATAGGGTTACACCGCAGAATTCGATACGACGTTCTATATCGGATGGATCGAAAGAAAGTTGATGAACGAAGACAGTCGTTCCCAGTAGGAAATTCGACTCACGTTTAACGAACGATCTTCGAAACTTGCTATGTCCCAATCGTTGTAAACGCAAGTACGCACGACCGCGTTTAAAACAAGCATGGCCGCACCCAACATATATTACCCGTGAAACTGAAATTCGAACATCGAATGCCTCGAACCACCATTAATTTTAATCGCATCTTTGCATACGCGAGAGCGAGAAAATATACATAATAAACATTTCCTGTTCTCTCCTATCTCCTAGAACGTAAACATAATTAAACGCTATTTACGAAGAAACCTATTTATAGCTGCGTATATCCTCGAATCATCATTTCAATATCACTATTCCCCTTTAATTATATTATAATAATAATCTCATAACAAAAAGAACAGAAAAGCAATTAAAATCTGAATTTATCGAGTTTTTCTCTATCCGCGATCTTCTATCTTTACGAGATACGATAGTGTTCTGGAACAAAGAACGTTTCGAAGGTAATCGTATCCGAACGACACCGAGGAGTCGCGTGGCGACATCAGGAACCAGGATAGAAAAGGTCACGAAAAGAGAAGAGGAAGAAGAAGAAGAAGAAAAAAAAGAAGGTTATTTAGATTTGGAGACAGTTACCGTTGGTAATCGCAGGCGTGGCCTAAAACGAGCAAAAGTAATCCGGTATGCAGGAGCGTGCTCCTGGTCGCATCGTGCCACGAACCAATGTTGCGAACAAATATACTCGTAGTGGGAGTAGATTGCCGGACGAAACTCGCTATAAAAGACCCCCTGGCTAATCCGTCGTAGTACAGTTGTCCATTGCGACTCGCTCGAAACACATTCGAGATCTTAAACGTAATTAAAATGTTCGCCATGAAATTCTTGGTAAGTTGGATTCGGATGAGAAGTTTTATGAATTAATCAATTAATTTCGATCGATTTTGTTTATTTTCTTTTTCTCTCTCCCTCTCTCTCGAAAAAATAAAAAAGGTTCTGCTCGCCGGATTGGTCGCCGCGTGTTCGGC